GCCCGGACTCAGCCATCTAGATAGGACTAGAGTTCCGAGCACTTTACATCTGCGCCTTGAAGGCACAGATAGACTCCCCCTCAGACTTCGGCAGTGTGCAGCTACGCGTTCACTTGCTCCTGTGGGATAGGTTAGGCGCACTACTAGACACCTCTTAACGTGGATGGGAGATCACTAGCCAGCCTGGCTGAATCAAGGTACGGCAAAGTCAATATCTAGAGCAATGTTGACTCACATGGGTGACTGTAGTCAACGGGTAGACGTCAAACAAACCTTCTGTGTCACCATTAAAGTGCCAGCGACGAGCCACTCCAAGTTTCTACGCCACCGGATACTTGCGAGGGCGGGAAAAATGGCCTTACAGTTAGTAAACCCTGTGTTGGGTTTGTAGAAGACGTTTAAAAGTGCTCTCAATCTACTCTGGCCTAAGCTGAGCTCCATATTTTCACTTCTGCATACTGCCACGTCACGCTACAGCGATGACACATAAGCAGTCTTTGCTATCCGATTTCGCGTCCCCCCTCTCATAACCATGAAAAATTAGGCATTAATTACCGCCGATACGTTTGAACTTCCTCAGCTCCGTGCCGATAATTACTGTTCACCGATAGAAGCGAAAAGGCAAGTGCCAGGAAGCAGCTCAGAAGAAAATATGATCATGGATGATGTATTCAGTATTGTTGATAGCAAAAAAATACGCTGAAGATCTTCTTAATTTTATCAATAAATTGCATCTGAAGATAAAGTTCACGATAGAAATGGAGCAGAGCAAGAAGTCTTCTTTCCTAGATGTCCTCCTGTTCAGATAGGATGATGATTCAATAAAGTGTACTGCTTTCCATAAAACCACATGGAAAGGCCAATACCTACATTTTACCAGTTTTGTGCCAGTGCAATGGAAACGAAATCTGGAGCATACTCTCTTTCAAAGAGCGAAAAGTATTTGCTCTAATGAGACTTTACTTGCAGAGATTTCCTGCATTAGAGCAGCCCTACTTTACCGCGACTATCGTTCACGCTTCATTCAAAAATATAGCAGCTCTTTACGGCCTTAAGTTACGGAACAGCCCGTTCCAAAAAAGCCCAATTTCATATCTTTACTCCTAAAGGGTGGTAATGTTTCAAATACGCTGCATTGCTTGCGTTGCACAATAGAGAGGACGTACTATGTAGCCGAACTAGTCTTCCTCAGTTCCACTAGAAGCCTTCCAGTAAAGCGGACAAAGTACGCATTGCTCTTGCACGCCACCCAAATTGTCCGTATGAATTCACGTGCTCTTGCGGATGCAAGTACATTGGGCTTACGCAAAAGCAATTGGCGGGAGAAACCCAATCTACGTATGCAGTTAGATCACGTGGCTAATCTCTAACTACCCTGGTAATTGCAGGTCTAGGTATAACCTACCTTTGCTTTTTGTTACTTCCCTTCCCCACTTTTCCTTCCTCCCTGCATCTAAAGTTTAAAGGCAAAATTATTATATTCTATTCACCGCGATGAACAATAACCTTGCTGGTATGCATTGATTAAGTGAAAATGCAAACTGTTGTGTACTCCATTCGTTATCAATCTCACACAGAGACGGGCAGCAGTTGGAAAGCTGTCTCAAAGTTTGTTTGTACAAATAAATCCTGTTGTATACACTTGCTTTAAATTCGTACCCGGGAAACAACGCTTTGAGTT